GAGCAATCTTGTCTTCACCGACTTTGGACCCGATGCTCTGGAACGAGGCCTGCAAAGAAGAAAAAAAATGAAGCAGAAGCTGCAGAAACTCTGGACCAAAGTGCGTGTTTGCAGTCGTTCTATGGGCAGTACAACGGAAACAAAGCGTCTACTGGTGGAAAAGCGGAGAGGAGGGTGAGCGATTGTCTCCCTAACGCTGCTGGATGGCGCGATTGGCTTGCTTGCTCTGCTTGGACGGATGCTGCGACTCCTCTGCAAGGGAAAGGTTATACCCGGCAGGCGGTTCTATTCTGCACTTCTGATTCGTCCCGAGAAAACGGATAGCCATTTAACTGGCTAGGTTTTGCATGAGTAGTGGCTTAGCCGCTGCAGATGTGAATTACCGACCACTCCTTCGCCCGTTTGGCGGTGATCTGGCAGGCTCATTCCGGATATAGTGCATGGCAGACGTGATGGATGGCATGATCGTCTCTTCGGCCTGGCACACGCGCTTCGCGCTTCGCAGCTTCGTCGTTGGATCAAGGAGGCCGGTTGGAACAGGCGCAACACGAGTTTGGGCGCCTGTGAAGACTAGAATCCGGGGTTGACATTCTCCAGGTGTTACTTGTTGTCACACAATACCTCTTGGGTTACTGCAACCAGTATAATGGGTTCAACCATGGGCTGCGCACACCTACGACCCCATGATACGACCCCATGGAGGCGGCCGCCGACAATGGCGTGAGGCGACAAACGATCTTGTCCTGGAAAGATTATCGGGAAAACAAAGTGGACGACCTTGACGTGTGTATTGGGCAAGGTTAGCCTGTCTAGGCACGGCAAGTTGCAACAGAGGGCTACATCGCTTCGAGGATGGCAGCTCAGCCCAGTCAAGCACCCCCCAAGTTGATCAACACTATCGGAAACCCCATGGCTGACAGTGGCCCGTGAGCCAAGCAAGAGGGGGGATGCTCTCGTCCCCAGTTCCCCCTCTCTGATCATTGGGGATCATTGGGGCTGCGGTGTCTCTAGACGAAGCAGCGAAACGGAAGACCACGGACGGCAGCCGAACAATGGCAATTACGAGAGAACAAATCAAGTGAAATCTCTAGCGTTGAGCTCGACTCGGCGGGGGACCCGTTGAAGGACAGGGGAACAGGCACCAGCGGCCCTCTTTCTCTTGATTCCACTCACCCCTAGTCGCCTCTCAAAGATACCCGGCGCAGGCCGCAAACATAGTCTGGACAAGATGAGAGTTTGCGTTTTTATCGCGCTGTCTCCATCCAATTTACCGAATTCCTGGGACGGTTGATGAAGTGTCTCTGCAGACCAGACCGGACGTGGACTCGAGAGGGTGGGGGCTGGAAGAGCAAGAGAGGTTGAAGGCTCCACACCCAAGGCGCGCGAGCAAGGGAACGTTGCGACTGCGGAACGCCTAGTGGTCCATGCAGGCCTAGCACCCGTTGCCGTACGGAGACGAAAGAGGGTACGGACTACGGTACGGAGTGCGGAATACGCACGCACCATTACCCGTGATTCGCACCATGGGATGGGCATCCAAGGCACACCCCCCTCCCCAGACCGAGGGCCGGTGTCTGTCTTGTGAGTGTGCGTTCTTGTGGTGCTTCAAGCAAGCAGGGAGGTTCGTCGCTTCGTCACCCCTTCCGGGCCCCTGGTCACGGTGGTTCCCTCTCCTCTCGCCGAGGGCTTTCTCTCTTCCCGGATTCTGGAAAGCAGAGGATCAATCACAGGTCCGCAATCGCATTCCCGTCACACACTCGCACCGGTCAGCATTCTAGGTCAGGATGAGACTCCTTCGAGGGCAAACGAGGGAGGGGGAAAGGATGAGGGATGAAGAGGAGATTCCCTCCGACCCGTCAGCCGTTCCCTTTTTTGCAGCATTCGTCAAGGGGACCCCCCGCTCGATCAGATGAGACGATGGATCATGAATGCGCTCTATGAATGCGATTGAGATTGTGAGATAGCGCGCGCAATCTTTGGGCCCGCACTCGACTACGACGCAAAGACGACGGCGGCGACGACGATTATACCATTCATGGACACCAGGAATTGTGAGACAGCATTAAACAGAAGCGGGTTGACGTCCGTCCCCGCGTCAAGCCGGCTACGAGAGAGAGGGGCCAAAAATAAGAAGAAGAAGGAGAAGAAGCGATGTGCCACTAGACTGGACATAGTCACGTCCGGACTTGATTGCATAATTCCGGCCCGTCTAACGTTCACTTTTTTTCTTCTTATTCACATTCGCCCTATCCACGCTATCCTACCCGATGCCCAATGCTCAATGCTCAATGCTCAATGCCCATTGATCGGGGAGGGACTCTCATCACCCGTCGTCATCTTGCCTCGGATCGAACATATCCCGTCAACGGCCGAGAGCTTGGTTTGCTGTCAGCATGCCGCGCCACTACCGACATCACACTTCAACAACGAATTACACGGAACAGCTGCTTGCCCTCTTATACACTTTTTTTTTCTTTTCTTATTTTCCTGTACTACACTATTTAAACTTTGCTGTACGTGACTTGATTACTTGCTTTAACTTTCTTGGGGGAGATATCTATGTAGAGAGACAGGTTGACAGTGAAGATGATCGATGACTTACAGGATCTCATTACCTACCTACCTTACGTTACCTGCCACATTTGAACTCCCGGCAAATTCACCCAGGACAGGCCAGGCAGGCCAGGACAGGCCCCCGGAAATTCGGAATTTCTCACAGATTTCCCACTTCACGTGAGCGAGCGGGCGAGAGCAGTCTCGCGAGATTTGGGAGCAAAAATGAGCAAAAATGGGCAACACAATGGACAAGAACCTACTCCGGGAAGCCGAAAAAAGTCAGGTCTTGGCGGCAAAGGGCGACAATCACAAGTGCGCGGAAGCCGCTCTGCGGGGCCGTCGGCTGGGGTACCCACCACTCGCGGTCTCTTTCACATTTCTTAGGTTCCTCTCTGAGTCTAGGTAGAGAGACTGAAAGAGAGAGAGAGAGAGTAGAGTATGGGTAGAGTATTGTATCGTCGTCCTGACGTCCTCCGCCTCCGTCTCCGTCTCCTCATCATCATCTCTTTCTATCCCCCCCCCCCCCCCGCCCTAATCCGCACGTACACATCAGGGTCCAAAGCGGACCATCACCAAGGCAGCGCGCAGGCAGGTAGGCAGGAAAGTGTACTTACTCCGTATCCTACGGGGATGCCCCGGGGAAACATCAAAGAGGAGACTCAGTGAGGATCTCTTTTCCTTCTCGTCTACCATCTTCCCCCACCCATGCCACCCTTCCTTTTGCCTGGCGCGCGCCGCCGCCATGCTTGTCCCTGCCCTTTCTTTTTCTTTTTTTCTTTTTTCCTCCTCTGGCCCTGTGCGGCGTTGCGGCGTGCCCCTTGTCAAGAAGGGCACCGCGCTAGATATGCGCCCCCTATGGGACCCAAACCCCCCATAACCTTGCAATGTCTCTTTTCGGTTACTGCAAAAAGCTATGGGACTCCTCTCTCTGACGGTTGACCTCTGTGATCCTCTTTCCTTCTCCCCTCTCTCCCTCATCAGTCTCTCAAGCCCCCCCCCCCCCGGTGATGGGCTTTTTTAAACACTTTCTTGCTACGATCCATCCCCCCCCCCGTCCCATCCCCCCTTGACCCTGAAAGGACCCGATATCCACTATCCCGTCTGAAAAGGGTAAAAGTTTCGACTTCTCAGGCTGCGGAAAAGCAGCACGTCGCATCCGGGCCAGAAGGGCCGCAGACACGGCCTGGCTGTGGATGTTAGTCGCTCTCTCATCGTATGAGGACTCGAGGCGGGTGCCTTTATGGCGTACTTTTTCTTGCCGGTCGGGTATCCACCACAACCACCACCCGCGCCGTTGAGGAAAGCCACACCCGCTACCGCAGCGCAGGGCACATTCTTCTTCTCTCCCTCCTGCCATGCCATCTGGTCTGCCTTTCCTGGTCTCCGGGTCCTTCGTACCCTTTCCACAGTCCAATCACCCTCGCCTTCGCCCGTCCCTCGGCATCGGGGCAGGGGGCAAGGGAAGGGGGAAGAGAGAGAGAGAGAGAGCACGGACGGGGCGCCCGTTGAAGAGGGCTAGCCCCCCGGGACTCTCCCTCCAGCCCGACATGAAGCATGAACATGGGTTTAATGTGACGAACAAGGCGTGCTAACTCGTCTCTCATTGTCATCGTAATTGCTGTTTGACAGTGGTGTAGCAGTAGAAGAGGAGAACAAGTCGCTTTATTTCTCTTGGCGTATCCTGATGACGATGGCATGAATGGCCCAAAGTACGGATAGATGAGCTGTCTTCCCATTCCATGGTCATGAGACGACTCCGAGCGTAGTCTCGTTACATTGGGCGCGTCGGCGAGTGCGAATGCTGCCTTGGTCCCGAGAACTCGGAAATCCTGCCTGGAGATAGATGAGTTGTGAGTCTTGCCCCATGCCCAAGCTGTTATGACGGGCAGGCGAATTGGACAACGGGTCTCTTCCTCGTCGGGTACTGGAATCGGTAGGTATCAAAGCAGATACTTCATAGTGGCTGAGAATATCGACATGGAAGATTCGCGACGATGACGAAGGAAGATCACGACTGATGTAGTTGGCCTTGTGTGCACAATGGTTTAATGTAAGGTGATGTTTGATGAGTGTACGTATGTGGATAAATCTTGCAAATGGCACAGATGAATATAGACAGTGAAATGTAAATGTACGCAAGATAATGATATGCGGAACCCAGAAGAGCCCTTGCCACCTGTCGTCCTCCTTCCCCTCCCAGTATGAGAAACCATACGAAATGAGTGGTATCTTTTCAGCCAAAACAAGAAATCCAAGACCAAACCAAAAGGAAATTGAATGCAAAATGACAAGGAACAATCTATACGTTGTCTCAGCCGCTTGGGCTCGGGAATAGCATGCTAAGGCTAACCTCATAGGAGGCTATTATCGGAAGAAGTGAAGGCCACCGTTACAGGTGGTGTTGATGTGTGCGTTGTAGATCTTGTCTGAACCTCGACGATTCTTCAGGTCAACTTGGGCTTGGGTGCCATACGTGCTCTGACGGCCCTTGGCTTCGCCGGCGCTCTTTTCTTGGCAGGCTGCTTGTCCTTGGCCTTGCTGGACGAGGATGCCGTCTCTTCCTCAGGGCTCTCCTCCTCCATCTTGATCTCGACTTGGCGGCCTCGTGGGCGAGCTCTGGCCACCGTCTTGAACATGGGTTCTTCGTCGACACCGTCTTCGGGATCCTCGCCGCGGTACTCATATATTTCATCGAGTATTTGTTGTCGCTGCTCTGGGTTCTGTCGTAATTCGACTGTGTCGTCAAGCAGGACAGCGCTGCTTGTGGCAAGGTTCCTCAGGCGGGTTTGCTGCTTCTTTGTTCTCCGCGACTTTCCCGGCTGAGTAGTAGGCTCGGCCGTGTAGCCCGAATCTACCATGCCACGCTCGACTGCCAGGTACTCAACGTCGCTTGCGCCCCATGCAGTTGTTTGTCCACCGCCGAGCTCCTTGAACTTGCGATGGACCATCTTGAAATAGTACGCATCGACGTGATCGAATGCCATTTTGAGCTTGTGTCTCTGGTGTCTTGTCAGTTATACTGCTCACAAGAAAATATCCTTACACCATGACGATGACTTACATCTCTGAGTGACCACTCCAGAAAGTTGGATCTTCCTCTCGTCACCTGCATTTGCAAACGCGCAGCAGAGCTTGTCATCCCGAACCTCTCTCTATGCTCGCCGGCAATAATATCCCACATTCCATTACCCTTGTTACCTGAAATAATCATGTCCCTTTGGCGATGGAAGAGGAAGGCGACGTCTTCAGGGCACTCCGGCTTGACGACAAATTCATCGGGAAGCGAGTCAATATGCGCCATCTCGTCATCGGCGGTCGGCTCTTCAGATGATTCTGCCTCGGACTGTTCCGCTCGACCTCTAACGCGAGGAGATCTTTGGCACCGGCCCGTTGCTTGTTGGTTGTTTTGACGGGCTCGGGTAGGTGCTCGAACGACTTCGGGGCGTTGTATCTGTGTGCTTGGAAGGGCGTATCCCATGTAACGTCTCCTGGTAGCTTCAGACTTGAAGGCTGTGATATCAGAGTCCTCTACCCAAGTGTGAGTCGGCGGCTGGGCATAGTACTGCGCCTGGGCTTGCGAAGGATGAGGAATTTGTCCCATGGACAGCTCGCCCATGATAGGCTGCGGCTGCATCATTTGTTGCTGGGGTTGAGACATGTAGTAGCCGTGGGGTGGCATCTGAGGGGACATGGAGCCCTGGTCCGATTGAGGTTGCGCGGAAACTGTATAGTTACCAAAGTAGTAGTCTTCGGGAGGTTCGCGTTCGTGCTCAGGTTCCGCTTGGATGTAGTTCATCTCGAAATGACTCTCGGTTGTGGGAGGGTTCATGGCCATCGGGGAGCCAACTTGGCTCTGAGGAGCACTCATGGCAACAGTGTTATGCCAAGCCATCCTGGAGGGTCCGGAAGGACTGGACTGGGGCTGCATGGGAGCCATCGCTGATGGGTACTGGGGAAGAGTTGTTGTTTGTTGCATGCAGGGCGAGCCGCCACCAGATACTGGAGTCAACATGTGGGATTCACCGAGTTGCGACTGATGGTTGAAAGTTGTGACCTTGTATCTGTCAGACACGCCTGGAGGGCTACTCAAGGATATATATATCGACTTACTGCAAAAGGAGGGCTTCTAAGGTCTGGGTAGATTGTGGTAGGAGGCTGTGCCACTGAGGTGCGCCTGCTGGGCATGGGGTCTGATAGTCCGTCTGAATGCATAGTGGTTTGTTCGACGTAGTTCTGGCTCGTCATGATCAAGTGGATGACCAGGAGGAGTTGTGGACAATCGAGGTAGATGTGGAATGTGAAAGTGAAAGTGTTGAGGTTGTGGAGAGTGGTGTGTAAGTGGCAATGAAGATGCTCCAAAGACTTGGATGTAGGCAAGAGCTTTGATGGTTTGTGGTGGTGTGAAGCTCGTCTTGTCTTATAAGAGGATGGGAAGGGGGGAGATGGATGGTAATAAAGAATTCAAAGAGTCACTGAAGTCTGCCTCTCCGTAATTGGACTTGTCAAGTGGGATGAATGAGAAGAGAGCCTCGCGAGGATGAGATGGTCGCGGCCTATTAATGACGAGCGAAGTGGACAGCGATGGTGCCGATCCAAAGGTTTGTATTTTTTTCGCAAGGGGAGCCTGCCAGTCGAGACGATTTGAACGAGTGCCACTCTCCAGGATGGAAAGCAGCGGGGACCATCGCCAGGGTTCGAGGAAGGGACAGGGGGAAGGATAGTGTACACGAGGTACATGAGGCCGTTGTAGTCTGGAAGGTAAGGTAGGTGGGTAGTTGTAGGTAGGGCCGGCACACAGACCAAGAGAGCAGGAGACGAGGAAGAGGAGGAGGGGTCAGGCAGAACAGGCAGGACAGGCACAGCACAGCACAGCACAACACAGAGAAGAGACAGCGACAACGATAGAGACAGGACAAGAGACAGAGACAGAGACAGAGACAGACTTGCATGCGGGGGCATGGATGTGGGTGGTTCCTCGCAGACGATAGCCGCCCGGGGCTGGTATGTACGGGTAGTGCAACTCTGTATGTACTCCGTAGATGATGCGGGTCGATTCAGTCGGCCGAGCAGTTTTGGGGCCTTGTCTTGGGGCCCTGGGGGCGTGTGTCTGTAAAGACCAGATAGAGCGAGGGAAAGAGAGAGAAAAGGGCATGGGGCGTGTGTATCCACAACTCCATGGATTTGGGGGGGGGGGGGAGCAGGGGATAGAGCGAAAGATTCTGAGAGGTTACCATTGCCAGCAAGAACCACACACATACCTACATACACGACAGAGTAGTAGCAGAGCAGCAGCAGAGCAGCAGCAGCAGCAGTCCCGGTGACATGACAGTCACAGTCGCAGATGCAGCCCAGCCCAGCCCAGTAGGCTGTATCCGTAGCGATGTTATAGCCCACCGGAGCAGAACGTCTCCCAGAAACTCGTCCAAGGTACTCACTCCGTAGACTAGTTTGCTCTGTCTCATCTCTGTCTCTGACTCTGACTCTGTCTCTTTCCGAGCGGCCGCCTTACAGCGCCTAAATGGGTGACAGGTGTGGGACGGGTTGGGGAAGAGAACGACTAATAGAGCCAGGCTCAGCAGAGTAGAGCTTGGGAGTGAGTTCGAGCCTTTGAGCATGAGGTACGGATACCTTACTACCATTGCACTTCTCGATTATGTCGAGGTACCAATGAGAGTGGCGAGGGGCGTAAGTCGGACACAATACAGAGCGAAGGGGACAACCGCTTGTTTCTATGGCCTGGCTCATCCGACATTGATACTTCTTTGTTTTTCTGGAGCCTCTGTGCTTCTACATCCCAGCCTACCAGCATCGTCTCCTCACTCGGCTACCTTGGACTTCGTTAAGTAGAAGGAGCAAAGTTATTGGGCTGATTCGTACTTACGCGAATGGCACGGACAGCCAGGTAGATGGGGTCTAGAATATATTAAACGTCCATTGACGATGGAGACGCTCGATGTGTGATGCTCCTCGTTCGCGGACGAAGAGTCCCGGAGGAGAGGGGGAGATGAGCGTTGACCTGCGCCGCATGTGCGGCCTTCTCTGATGGATCCTGGATCGTACGGGTGCACGGTACACAGCTTTTTCTCTCTCCTTTTTTCTGTAAGGCAGAGCATGGCAGGGATTATTATCGGCGATGGGGTCTGATTCGGAGTGAAAAGAAAAACACCAATCCTGTGATTGCGCCGCTCTGATTCCTTAAGCCATGATGAATGTACCTAGTTAGGGGCGGGAAGCATTGTCTACCTAGGCCATGATTCTTGATAGCATTGTGTACTGGTAGTCAGTTTCCGAGATAGCAGACGTGGGCAACAAGGCGGCATCAAGGAAGTAGTGTAGCACGGAAGCTGTAGCAGAAGAAACGACATGAACACAGATTAACTCATGCTGGGGTTGTGGGATAACTTGCCTCTTTCTTCCCCCATTCACACAGTACGAGGACCAGTTGCTTGGGACAACCCCGCCAGGCGGAGGTTACAGTGGATGGTAGGGCTCTCGCTGTACTTCGTAAAGTGCAAAATCGAAATGGATTTACCGGAGTTGTGTTGTAAAAAAAAGCAATGTTATCAAGTCTAAATGCTGGAAGGATATTGTGTTTGGTGTGGAAGAAATGCAGACTTGGATTGAAGTGTGGGTGACTGTAACAGAACGATTGACATTGTGACATCTGGGGCCTATCAATCTGCGTCCGAGTTGCACATTACGCACGTAGTTACGCACGTAAAGGACCCGGATATGCCAAGATTGACGTGGACCATTACAACGGGGTTGCCCCGGGACGGGACTGATACGGGTTTGCTCCCGTGGTGGATTAGTTGATAGACGAGAAAAGAGGAATCAAATCGATCTTGACGCTATATTAGTGGTTGAACTCCCTGCTCTTAGGTGCATCTCTGTCCGATTGGAGAGAGACGCGGGCAAAGTATAGGATCGAGGAAGTCTCAGAAGTATTAGCCATTTTCCGGCGACAGCGGGTAGGGCAATGCGAGTGCCAGTCAGCAAGGTGTGGTAATATGTGACAAAGAGCGACGATGGCGTATGTGGAGTTCAACTGTATGATAAGTGTGTATGTTGAAGGTATCCGGAGCATAATTCCGGGGCCCTGGTAATGAAATGACCATCGGGCTAAGGTAGCTGGAATGACACGGTAATCAAACTCGCAAAAAAGGCACAGTAAAATCATCAACAAAGAAAAAGAAGGAAACTGAGAGGGTGTGCTACATTCGATGTCAGGAGCTGGTTTTGGTCAACGTTTCGGTTCCGGGTCGAGTTCAAAATGGGGGTTGGTGAAGAGAGAAGAGAGGAAAAGAGGAAAAGCAAAGGATGTGTGAGTGAGGTGAGCATGGACTCTGGACTTCGGGGGTCAAGCCAAAGAGACTCAACAGAGGGCAACGGCCGAGTTCTCGGGTGTCATTGCATGAACCGTGTGATTGGCTCCATGAACGGCCGCAACGGGGTCGACAACCTGAGAAAGCCGGGGGTAGGAAAAGGCAAGTGGGGACGTTCATCTTGCGGTACGTATCTTGCGTGCCTGCCTCATTCTCACCCAGGTCCTAAGGTAAGGTAAGGTAGGTGAGTCCTTCTTTCCGTCCCGACGCCCTGCGGCCTTCCTGCCTTCTTGGCTTCCTGCTGTGCGGCGTGCCTGCCTTCCATTCGACAGATGCAACGTACCGCATCTGTAGGTACACAACCTGGAAGTGAGTACCTCCACTACCTACCTTACTCGTCTGTCTGCGTGCCTCAACTGTACCGTCCTCGAGCCGGGTCCGCTCCTCTACCTTCTCCAGTCCAAGCAAGTCCAGTTTCCCAGAGTTCAGAATTATGATAAGTGGTTCTTTCCGACCAGCGCATTGTCGCCTTGATTTCAATCATCACATGGTCAATGAGTCCAAGAGCTGACATGTGTCCTTACTACCAAGTCCTTTTCCACTTGTGAAAACCTTGACTCAATGATAGGTCAGAAACTTGGAATCTCTCCCGGCGGCACTTCCCAAGGTACCTTACACTGTGACTCTCCTCTCTTACGTCTGTCACATTTGTCGACTTGCTATCAGTTTCGTGGGCGGGACCCTTACGATAGCTAAGGGTACCGTTGCCGAAATCTGCATTGCCCTAAGGTCTGGTCACCTCAGGCCCGCCCTACGCCAAGAGTCGCGGAACAGAACGGCCAGTGCCCAGCTGCCCCCAGCACCACCAGGTGGGAATCTTTTGAGAGACAGGGGTGGTGGGGTATCCCTAAGATACTGCGTACACTACCTTACACTAGACCTCTGATGTTTGGGCGTGTGGGTCTTGAGGCTGCAAATCCTCGGACAAAGCGGGGGCACAGTTTTCGTAGGACTCGCTTGTCGACCTTTTACTCCCCGTCGCTGGGTGTGACCGGGACGCGTCCCGTCAACTTGGAGTCGTGGACATCGCTTGAGTGGGCACCAAGCTGGACCACACTGCAGTGGGCTGGAGTCACTGAAAGAATCCGGGCTCTTCAGGATGGAATTGCTTCAACAGTTATCCGAGAACTAGGTACTCGTCGTTCAAATTGCCTTCTTTCTGGACTACCTTGCTCCTCTCTTCCCAGCGACCAGAGAGGCATGCTCATGTCAGGCCATGGCTTTTTAGAAAAAGAAAAGAGTCAAGGGGTTTCCCTTGCCCGTGCAGAACTTGTTGCAGCATCGGTAAACACGCGCCAGTGGAACAAAGCTTTCACATTGTCTCGACTCTCGCCTCCCACCATGACATCGAGTCTCCATGTTAATTCCAGTCCTTGTCCTTGGCCACGGCGATTATTATGCCATCAAGCCACTGTCGATCAAGGTAAGCATACATACTCTGTACAATGCCAGGCCATGCGCCCTGGTTTACATACCCATCCAAACTAGCATAGTGAAGGCAATGATG